TCCGAATTTTTTTTTTTGACAAGAAGTTCATAAACAACACTTAAATTAACCCCACAAAATATAACCAAAAGGCAATTGCTGACTCTTGGTTGCACCCATGGAACTTAAGTGGTACTCATGCACACACTCAACAAACGATGTGGGACGCAGGGAGAGGGAACATGAGAGCCTTTACTAAGCACTAAAGAGCACTCACTCACTCTAGTTTTAACTTCATCAACAGGTCTTTTTTTTCTTTTTGACAAGAAGTTTATAAACAATATTTAAATTAACCTCACAAGATACAACCAAAAGGCAATTGCTGACTCTTGCACCCATGGAACTTAAGTGGTACTCACGCACACACTCAACAAATGATGTGGGGCGCAGGGAGAGGGAACATGTGACCCTTTACTAAGTACTAAAGAGCACTCACTCACTCTGGTTTTAACCTCACCAACAGGTATTTTTTTTCTTTTTGACAAGAAGTTCATAAACAACATTTAAATTAACCTCACAAGATACAACCAAAAGGCAATTGCTGACTCTTGCACCTATGGACACCTATGGAACTTAAATGGTACTCAACAAACGTTGTGGGACGCAGGGAGAGGGAACATGTGAGCCTTTACTAAGCACTAAAGAGCATTCATTCACTCTGGTTTTAACCGGTTTACCCAACTGGTTTTCCTCTCACACTTATTGATGATGCCACCAAGAAACTCCGGATGAGGGGCACAGACGGTTGTAGGTAGCAACCGTCCCTGGCAATTTACGGCCAAGATTTAGTCAAAAAAAATTTGTAAGGTCCATATTTCATCTTATACCTCGTTTTTAATAATATGTGTGGAATTCACAAAATTTTGTTCTAAAGTTACGTCTTGTTGAAAGTAAATTACATCGTGTGCAAATAGAGTTACGCTGTGTGCAAAATGAACATAATCCTCAGGAACGGTTGCAGAAGCAACCGTTCCAGCCCCGGGTCTAGAAACTCCTAAAGCGTCAGATTCACCTTTAATATTGAAATTAAAATCAACGATTACGAAAAAAGAAAAAGGAAATAAAAGAAAAAACTACCAAATGAAATTTTAGAGGACTATATTCAGTTTGTGGTTTCTAAATTTTTTAAATACAGATTTCCTGATTCATCTTCTTACATGACATGCATATGTCACTAGTAAAAAGACTAATCATTCCCAAATAATTCAGGTTTAATTTTATTTCCAAAATTATCCTTATGTATAACGGACATATACATGCACACAACTCTCCTTGGTGATATGTACAAGAGGTTTGAGCATGAAAGTCTATTACAAACGGGTATTTTAAAAATGAAACTAGGCCTAAAATATTCAGGTGGTTATTTAGGTGTCGTTCAGCAAGACGGCATGAGAATCGAGAATTGGAATTAAATCTATAATTAGCGTTTGGATGAAAGGTATGGGGTTTTAAATCTTGGATTGGAAGGTTTTGTGAATTCCCTTATTTAATTCATAAGGAGATTTAATTAAACATTTTTTAATTATTCCATCTCTTGGGTTTCTTTCTTTCTTTTCTTCTTCACAACAGGCCACCACTACCCCTACTTCTTCTTTTACACCCGTAACCGACCAACCGCCTCCTCCTCCACTCTCCCTCATCTCTTCCCCATAGCCGACCACCCTATCCCTCCTCTACTCCCTCCCATCTACTATTCCTTTTTCTTCATGGAGTTGCAGGCCACTTTTCTCCATCCCTTTCCACACCTATAATTCAACCCCCTATCCATTCTCCACTCCGTCTCATCTGCTAAATCTTTTCTTCCATGGTGATGTAGGCACTGCTCTTTAATTTCTTTCCAACAAGGAGCTAAGAATTATGGAGAAATTTCTATTTGCTAAAGATCTCATCCCTATTTGCCGCCCAATTTCTGGCAAATTTTCTTCTATTTTGGGGCTAATAATCTTTCTAGTGGTGGTGTTAAATTTTTCTAGAACTATACTGGTGGAGATGATGGAGGTAAAAGTGGAGTGGGTAGTTGCAAACCTCCCTCTTCTCTTTGCTCTCACTGGTGAATCTTTTTGGCAAATTCTTCGGTTTTGTTTCTGGCATTTAGAGATCTAATCGAATGATATTGAAGTCCCAACCATAATTGCAGGTGGTGAACGGTCAAGAATGCTTCAATAAGGTATAAGAGAGGAGAAGGGAAGAAGAAAATACAATTTAAAATGAAAAAGATATTAAAATATTTTTAAGATATACATATTTTAATGTAAAACTCATTTCACATAAGTTTTTATCAAAGCGTAATAATACCTTCCACCAAAGCCCAGACTAAATTTTTAAAAATGAATTCAATTACAATTCCGATTGCCAGACTTGAACCAAACACCCTGTTAGTCTTTTGCCGGTAGGATGTGCATGTCATTTGAAGAAATGAAAGGGAAATTGGCACATATTTGCTGTTTCTATTTGATTAAGAAAATTTGACTACCATAAGAGGCGGGAGTTGGAGACTGAAGCAATTCAATGTTCGCGGGACAATGTGATAAAATTGTATTCTTGGAGGAGGTTTTTTTGAATTAACCTTTTTCTTTTTGAAGATAAGTAAATGAGCAAAAGAAAGATTATTGAGGAAGATACAAAATCGACAAAATAGAAGACCAACTTAAGAGATAGTAAGAAAGAATAAATTTCACAAATTCAATTTTAGATGTATTAGGGACTTCTATTTTAATAATAGTCAAGATATTTACTAGCCCATGCTAAAATAATACGGAGGTTGACCTAAAACTCAAGGAGTTGATATTTTAGTTTCATGCAATTTTAAGGCTGAAAAGTAATTGCCCTACACCAATCCAAATGACTTTTTAAATATGTCCTTACCTGCTAACTGCTTTTGTCCAAAGCTTCACAAATCAACAAAATACCTTGCAACCTGCTAAACCTCATCATGTTATTATATCGTCTTTGTCACACTAAAAATTGATTTTGACCAAATATTGAGTATAATTGTCATATATGCTAGAGAGATTTTCAAAATTATCTATTGAATTGTTTACTTCTTGCAAACAACATATGCAGATGCATGAGACCAAGTCAGCGCCAACAATAAAAATAAGATAGGCAGTCTAACCAACATATTCATAATTATCAATGTATATCATTCCATATTCTTGAATGCTTCAGTCCTTCTAATTTCTTGGGAAAAACTGAGTTTTGATCTTCTCAAGTGTTGTGACGGCATCTTTTATGTTGATCCTGTTCTCTGGGACATCTGAAGTGCATCTTAAAGCAAGCTGCAAGATAGATGATACACAAGCTTTGTTTTCCTCGGCTTGTTTGTCCTCTAGATGAAGTAATTTCACATCGATAACTTGATCTACAAAACCTGGCAATAATTCTTGGATCCAACGCCTAATGCTTAGCTCTTCCTTGAACATCTCATCCTTTGGTCGCTTTCCAGTGAACGCTTCAATCATGGTAATGCCAAAACTGTATACATCGCACCTAGTTGACACTAGTCCTTCTAGTCCATGCTCTGTCATGAATATTGAAATTCACATTAACATTGCTACAGCGAAAAATATAGTAGTTTTAAAAAGATTATAATGTTTTCATATTCAAAATAAAAGTGTTATAACATATTTCATCTTAAATTTGGTTTGGCCAATGAGTGCCAGGGACACTTACCAAGATAATTTTGACGAGAGTAAAACTAATTTAAGAAAGTCTCTAAGTGCAGGTAAATAATATATGTAAATGTGTGTATTCACATAATTAGTTAGATGTTTTTAAGTGTTTTAATGAGTTTTATGAAAGCACCTACCAGATTGTTTTACCAAAAGACAAAACTTAAAGGCTCCATATGAATTAGGTGTTTTTGTAGTGTTTTTAAAAAAATTTATTGTAACAGTGTATATAAAAAAAAAAAACTTTTATTGTAGATTGTTAGGTATTTTTGAGGTAATTTTGGAGGTGTTCCTAGAGATGTATTTTTAGATGCTTTTAGAATTTATAATTTTTAGGATATTTTTAAAAAATAAAAAATAAAAAATAAAACCCCCACCACCACCACCCACCGTCACCGTCACCGCCACCAACCCCTTCTCCTCTCTCCTCCCTCTCCGTCTTCCTCCACTTTCTTCCTCCTCCTCTTCTTGCCCTTCCCGTGCCACCCCTTGCTGTTCCCTTCCTTCCTACCTCCCAAATTTGGCCACAACCTCGTCATAGCCTCTAGTCGTGACCAGATCGGGCATCTGGTTATGGCTAGATTAAGGGGAGGGGAGTGGAGGGGACGAAAGGGAAAAGGGAGAAGGTGGATGGCAGGGAGAAAAGAGCAGGAGGGGATAGGGGTGGTGGTGGAGTGGTTGTGGTTGTGGATCGAAGAAGAAGATGTGAAAGGGTTTGTTTTTTATTTTTTTTTTATTTTTTTGGTATTTATATAAGATTATTATTTATACACTAAAAGTGTATATATTATTAATTTTAGATGAATGACCAATAACAAAATTTGGATTTAAACTCCAAGTTTTATACATGTGTCATGAATCAAATGATAATAGGGTATTTGCACACAATTTATTCGAGAATAGATCACTATGAAATCTATATAATATGTTTCTGTATTTTGTAAGGTATATAATTCTCTCATAAGAGAATTGTATTCAAAGTGCTCATTAATTATTTTATCCACCATGGGTATCCTTTGAGATGTATATTTCCGGCTAAAATCTGGGCTCAAAGATACTCCATCATTGAGAGAATTTAATCCAGATCTCTCAGTCTATTGGCAATCTTTTTTTTTCCCAATAATGGGGAAAGATTTTCTATTTCATCCTTTTTGAATAAATCATATAATAATTCTTCAACCTTATCGTAAATATTATACTTCAATGTATATAAGATTTACTCATTTTTATGAGTTGTATTTGAGATTGTGTGTATTTTTAGAATTGATTTTATAATGTTGCTATAGACTGCAAATACAAAAACAGTTTTTGAAAAAATTTCCAAACCAATAAAAAGCCAAAATTTTAGGTTTACAGCCAAGAATAATAACCTGGAGCGATGTACCCAATTGTGGCCAGAGTGTTTGTTTGAACATGGCTTTCTTCATCTCCCAGCAATTTAGCAATCCCAAAGTCACTAACAGGACCTACCATATCTTCATCTAGTAAAATGTTGCTAGGTTTCAAATCGCAATGAATTATTGGAAATGAATACCCATAATGAAGATATTCCAACCCGTGAGCCACATCAATCATGATGTCCAATCTTTGCATGATACTCAGGACATGGTGGCCAAGATGAAGCCATTTGTCCAGACTTCCATTAGGCATGAATTCTAGTATCAAAGCTTTAAAGTCCTGATTAGAGCAAGCACTGATTACTTTGATCAAATTTCTATGACGAAGGCGGCATAAGACTTCGCATTCTGTGTCAAAAGCTTTCAATATGCCCTCAAGCTGCATATCAAATACCTTTATAGCCCAAATCATCCCATTTGCAGACACCCCTTTGTAAACTGAACCAAACGTCCCAGATCCAAGCAAGTTATTCTCGCTGAAACCATTTGTTATTCGTTGAAGTTCATGGTAGGGAACCCTTTGATGTGTTGTTTCTGGAAAAATATCATGAACGGGAGCCGTAGTTTTATTTCTTGTCAACCTTTTCAGCAACAAAAGTGAAACGGCCAAGGCTAGGACAGCAGATCCTGTTGGCAGGGACACAAGCAAGAGCATCTTTTTCTTTGATCCATGTTGAGAAGTTTGACAAGGTTGGAACCAAGGAGTACCACATAATGCTTCATTAGCAAGAAAGGATAGGAGTGTGAAGTTCTTAAAAGGTCCTCCTTGAGGAATCGGTCCTTGTAGATTGTTGAAGGAAACATTCAAATACTGAAGATCCAAGAGTGCCTCCAGTGATTTAGGTATCGTACCAGTTAAACTGTTGAATGACAGATCCAAGTACTGCAAAACAAACATATTCTTGATGGACTCTGGAATTAACCCTTGTAGGTTATTATGCCCTAAGGAAAGTGCCTGTAAATTCTGTAGCGCCCCAATTGTGCTAGGAATATCAGCAGATAACTGATTAACTGATAGGTTCAGTTTGATCAACGCCTTCATACCTCCAACTTGGGAGGACAAAGACCCATTGAGATAATTCATGGACAAGTCAAGCTCCAACAGATCCTTAAGGCTCCACAAGCTTGATGGTACGCTAGATGTTAGATTGTTGGAGTTTAAATAAAGATATCTCAATGAAGAAATGCTCCCTATGCAATTGGGCACTTTGCCAGATAGCCTATTTCTTGCCAAAATTAAGTATGCTAAGTTGGGAATATGACAAAACTCACTTGGAATTGGTCCATGTATCTTGTTATCTTCAAGACTTATCCACTGAAGTTTTAGTAAACCTGAGATGGAACTTGGGATTGTTCCTGTCAAGCCATTGCTTGCTATGTTCAAATACGCCAAGTCGCTCAAGTTGCCTAGTGACCTTGGAATTTCACCTCCAATTCCACAATAAGACACATCAATTGATTCAAGAGAGTTGGAAAGATTTCCAATAGACACTGGAAGATTTCCATTCAGTGGATTTTCGTCTAGCGACAACCTAATCAAAGACCTGCAATTTCCTATAGAATTGAAGAAGGTCATATCTCTAGATAGAGTAAAATTGTTTTCCGAAAGATCCAAGGCTTCTAGGAATGTTAGGCTGCCAAGAGAGTCAGGAATTGCACCAAAAAATTCATTTACTGTCAAGTCTAGACTCATCAATTTGGAGGCATTGGAGAGTGTTGGTAGTATAATTCCAGTGAATTTGTTGCTCCCAAGATTAAGCACCTCAAGATTGGGTAAATTAACACCTAAAGTGGAAGGAAGAATGCCCAAAAAATCATTATCTGGTATGCACAATGCCCCAAGAGTTGAAATGTTGAATAGCTCATGTGGGATAGGATTTCTTAACCTATTTTTGCCCAAGTATAGTACCTCCAATTTGTGTAGGTTACCAATCTCACGAGGTATAACACCTGATCAAAAACCAACTAGGCAACAAGTCAAATGAGAAGAAAAACCAATTCCATTGAGGAACACATGCATATTAATAATACGCATACACATGTATACACACACACATATGAATGGGCTGAAATTGTTTCATGAAAAGAAGCTAGTTAGGGTTGTCGGGCCTTTAAGTTTTGGTCAGCTAACTTATGTAAAAATAAACATATAATTCGGCTGGAAAAAAAGGGGAGAAATTTTCTGGACATAAAGAGAAGGAATTTGGATAAAAAAAAAAGGGAGATATTAGAAGTAGAGAAGGCCATGTAGTCTGGTACGAACCAAAAAGTTAAAGGAAGCCTAGTCTTACAGGGACTGTACTTGTGTGACATCTATAAATATACCTAATGGTTAGACCTTAAGCCGTTTTCTTCTTACAAAATTCAGAAAAATGTGAGAAAGACAGAGAAAAGGTGAGAACGTAAAATCTCTATTTCTTGGAAAATTAGGAAGAACTATGAATTTATGGATTAAATTCTAGGGGAGCCATGTGAGGGTCATAAACTTGTCCTGATAATGTGGTTTATAGATGTTATGTGATTAAAGAATTTGGATTATTCTCACTTTACACCCTTAAATTATATCATTACTATCAATTTACCTCCTAATATTGTATTTTAGTTACTTTACCCCTATAGGCAATTCAAATCGGTATGTTAACAAGTTTTGGATAAAAATATCCTTTATTTTATCGCATTACTATATTGTTATTACCACTTTGTCCCTTTAAATTATAGTGATACAATTGCTTTACTCCCTAACATTATTTTTTGGGTATTTATCCCATCATTAACCTAATTAGTATGTTCAAAAAACTTTTAATGGATTTACCTTTTTTTAATATAATCAAAAGTAAAAAAATTGGAATGGTTATTTTTTCTTTTTCTTTTTCTTCACTCTAAGAGTTCCAAAAACATAAAAATAAAAGGATTTTCCTAAATTTCTTTTTTTTCACACTTATTAATACTAGGAAAAGAAAAAGAGATAGGAGAGAAAGAGATAGAAAATTAGATTTTGCAAAAAAAAAAAAAAACAAAATAAGAAGAATCTAATGTTATTGTATTACTTTAATATCATCAAGATTAGGATTAGAATTGAGTGATAAATAGGAAAGTAAAATAATTAAAATATCGAATTCTTTCTTATTTGTATTTTTTTTGAAAAAGAATTGGGCTCTCTCTCTCTCTCTTTCTCTCTCTTCCCCTATCTTTCTATTTTTTTTAATATTGATAAGATTTTTTCTTGATACTAAAAAGGAAAAGAGCCACACTAAATTTTTTATTATAAAAAGAGAAGGGTACTTTCTTTTAGAGTTTTTTTAACTTGCTAAACTAGTTTAATGGTGGGATAAATTGTCTAAAAAATAACTTTATGGAGTAAACTGATAATAAGACTATAGTTTACGAAGATAAAGTGATAATAATTTTAAGCCCAAACATGTCTTTTCAGTTGAATTAATAAACTCCGTTAAGTTTGACTGGGGGCAAAGTAACTAAAAAGTAATATTATGGAGAAAATTAATGCTGGAAACAAATGTTATACATCTATATAATTGTTTTATTTGACTATTTCTCTATGGCTGGTGATATTGCCAAAAAAAATAATCTTTTTGCTAAAGCAATATGTGCTCATACGCTAAGTTTATTATCAACCAGTCAACTCCATATATTTGTATGGAATTTACTAGGGTCTATTAAGCACTAATTACTACTCTTCTTCTCTAATAAATTTTTCTCTCTCTCACCACACACATTGACACACGTTGATTCATTAATTACTTTCATGATTTACTCGTTTAGTTTCTGTCTTAACCTTTTTTTGTATAATAATGCTTTTGCTTAAACGCACTTTTTTTTGCATTCCGATACTTTTATTTAAAAATTTATTTTTGCAAGTGCAACATGATTTAATTCCAACAAATTTTGGTTTAAAATGATTGCTATGATGATATCATTGTAACTCAATGCTTTGATATATATTTCATTTAGTTTTGGCATGCAACATACTTTATTTATTTGAATTCTACTTGTTTATCGTGTGCTTTTGTAGCTGATCTTGTTAAGAACTTTACCATCCTTTCCTCTTTTATAATTGTCCTGCAGGTTTCGTGATAAGAATATATTTTACGTATTTTTTAGTGTGTTTTATTAGTTAATTTTGGTTTGATTATTTAGTTTTATAACTAAAATAACTAAGGTTTTGGTAAAAAACTACATTTTATGTTAAAATGGCTAAACATTGCATTTTATGGATTTTTATGGTAAAAACTTCATATTTTGTAGGTTTAATGATTCAATCATCAAATGAAGTGCATTGGGAAGATATTTGGATGATTGAAGATGGATTAAAGTGGTGAAAATAAAATATGAAGTATAAAAGGAAAAATGCAAGAAAAGTCAGGTTTGACAACTCTGACATATTTTGGTATTTTGACTATATCTGGAGCTACACAGATCGGATCAAGGTGATCTTTATACCATTTTAAAGCTAAGAAAGAGATCTACATTTGGTATGAAGACATCAAAGTTCAATTCAGCCGTTTTCATAGTCCAAAAGTTGAAATACCGAAATTCAACTCAGCTGTCCAAAGTGGAAAACAGAGCTCTGACTAGTGTTTAGTATTTTGATCATATCTCAGGCTATACAACTCCGATTTGGATGATTCTTGAAGCATTGAAAAGCTAACTCAAAGGGCTACAATTTTTATGTTTTGCACAAAAGCCAGTTCGACCTTTATAATAGAGAAAATCGCAGATGAAGTAAGGCCAAAGTGAATACGCGAGTACACAAAACGTGACTTGTAACCGCGTTTTGTGTAGGCGCGTTTTCTGGCCGCAATTCTGCAATTTGCTCAGTCAATTCTCTTATGTTCAAACTACTTTCCAGCTACAATCTACAAGAGAATTCGGTGCACATGCTTCAGAAGACAAAAGGGCAGACAAGGTGGCTTATTTTCAAGTCAAAAACATTTGTTATTGACTATCCTAACAAAGTTAGATTTGGAAATCAAAAGTTGGAATTTGACTTGGAAAAAGAGAGCCTTTGAGTAGTTTATATGCAGAGACATTTGGGGAGGTCTGCAATTGATTAGAGGATCATACGGGAGAAGCTTGAAGAGTGCAGAAATGTAGTTCTTCCATTTCCTTAGTGTAGGATAGTTTAGCTAGTGTAGTTCATCCACTCTTGTATATTGCTAGACTAGGATTAAGATGGAGATGAAGAAGGCAAGGTGATGAGCTCAAGTGCCATGGGTTACATTCCTTTTCAACTCTTTATCTTTTGTACTTGATTCCAAATTTAGTTAATATGCAAGTTCTGGATTTTATATTTAATATGTGTCTTTAAAGTTTATACCTTGGGTTTGGTTGAACTTTCTATGATTGTTAGTGCTTATTATTTGGCTACTTGACTGCTATAATTTGAGCAAGTTATTTAGCATTTTAGCTCTTTAAATCATGATTAATCTGGTACCATTAATTGTGATTATCTAAGGTGTTATTTCTGCAATGAAAATTGAGATTTAACATTAGTTCAAGAAGTGCTAAACATAGGGAGTACACTCACGAAAGTAGAGGTGCACCTATGTGGTTTTTAGTGATTAATTTCATGTAATTTCATTGAAAAAATAAACTTGTAGCTTATTTCATAACCATGAGAATAGGTATGGATTAGTTATGAGTATAGTTGATTCACTACGAAAGTAGGTTTCACATGTTTAAGGAAATTACACCATAACTAGCCTAGATGTAGTATTCAATTATCCAAATATAGCACTTGCATGAGTAGTTAGGGATACCACAACCTAAGAAGCTTTTATTTGTTATTTTGTATAATTTCAGTAGGTTAAATTTGTTATAATTCATTGATAGTCTAAATAATAGAGAAGCTTTAGTAATACCGGTAATTGTTCACTCTTCCCTGTGGGATCGACCCGATATATACCCTAAACTACTAGTTGACCTGTATACTTGCAGTGAACGGGTGTAATTCGGTTTTTTAACTTGTACGTATGTAAAATACCCGTCATTTCGACTTCCTATCAAGCATTAGTATTCGCTAATAACTAGATGAGAGTAAGTTTAAATTGCATTAGATTGTATATCCTATGTATATAGGGAAAGTAAGGCTAGTATTACTTGTTTGAATCAAATTATGTTTTATTTGCAAAAGGACAGCATATTGAGAAAAAAATTAGTATATAAAAAAATATTAAAATCAAAATCAAGTTTGTAAATCATAAAATAATAGATCAATTAATCTAACATAGAGAGTTAGAGAAGAAGTTGATGATAATAAGGGTAAGATTGAGAGACCCTAACCCTAAAAACTTATTTATAGAGAGAAAAGAAGAGTAATTAATGTATAATGAGCCTTAGGAAAATCAGTGAGCATAATTGACTGATTGAGGGTATTCTTCGCATTTGAGAAAATATTGCACTGCCAAGAAGATTATCACTCTGATAATTGACAAGGGTTTATTTTACGTATTTTTAGTGTATTTTATTAGTTAATTCTGGTTTGATTATTTAGTTTTATAACTAAAATAACTAAGGTTTTGGTAAAAAACTACATTTTATGTTAAAGTGGCTAAACATTGCATTTTATGGATTTTTATGGTAAAAACTTCATATTTTGTAGGTTTAATGATTCAATCATCAAATGAAGTGCATTGAGAAGATATTTGGATGATTGAAGGTGAATTAAAGTGGTGAAAATAAAATATGAAGTGTAAAAGGAAAAATGCAATTTGAATCAAGAAAAGTCAGGTTTGACAACTCTGACACGTTTTGGTATTTTGACTATATTTGGAGCTACATAGATCGGATCAAGGTGATCTTGGTACCACTTTAAAGCTAAGAAAGAGATCTACATTTGGTATGAAGACATCAAAGTCCAATTCAGCCGTTTTCATAGTCCAAAAGTTGAAATACCGAAATTCAACTCAGCTGTCCAAAGTGGAAAATAGAGT